TGACTCTCCGTGAAGCAGCAATTCTTTAGAGTAGCAGCACCTAATCATGAAGTTAAATGGGTCAACAAATACACTGAACTTCCTTCTACTTGGTTGTTTAGTTTGGCGTAAAATATTTTATTAGTTTTTCCTATCCAGGGGTACAGTATGAACAATGGAGGTCCATCAGCATTCAACTTAAGGCAATTAGAAAACAATGAGAACTGACAAATTAGAATCAATCAAATTCACAGAGTTGTAACTAGACCTTAATTGGTCAGTTACTTAATTTTAGTTAATTGAAGTTATAGACGTTCAACTGAAAGGTAAGTTATTCATATCTTTTAGATCGTGAGGAGCTCATTACTGAGCATGCTATTGCTTGGAATCAAAGAAAAATCAATGGCATGGCACAGAGTCTGTCAAGACGTAACACATGGGTCAGTATTTATGCAATATTACTATTGCTAAATAGCTATTAAACAGACAAAATTATGTTACCATTTGTACTCGCATGTACACATGGAAGTACAATTTTTAGTGGATCTTGTATTGAGTATAACAGATTTAACGATCTTAATTTTATGTTACAAAGATAAAGAGTAGACTCGGTGCTTTAAATACATATTGATCACGTTTATTACATCTATCATTTGTGTTTTGATTGGTTTTAAATGATTATTTTTGTTATTTTTAATTACCATTTACTCCAGTGCTATGCTACCTAGATGATATAGCCTCACTCTGGCCAAACCTTTGTTTATACTGTTTTTTTTTTTAAATTCCTTGATTCGTGTAGGCCGTAAAAATGAAACCTGAATCGCAAAAAGATTTTGATGACGTTCTAGACAGGAATAATGTATCACTGGATAACTGTAAGCCTGATGAGTGGAAGAGTATTGTTGTTAATCATCATGCACATGGTAACTTTGTATACTTTTGGTCGTTTATCTCTGAATTTCCTTCTGCTGTCCTATGGATATGGCATTACCTGATAGAATTACTTTGTATTTCTCCTTTAGAGGTGGAAGCCTTGCAAGGCAAGGGCAGTGGTATACTGCAGATTCAAGATGAGGTTGAAATGTTGGTTTCTGCCATTCAACAGACCACTCATTCAATAAGCAGACTAGCAGGTAGTTCTGCTACATCTTGATTTGTTTACCTTTTTATTCCTTAGTTTTGGAAGGACTATTGAAGAACCGAAGAAAATCATCTTCACTCATCTTAAATTCACTGTCTTTTTCTTGAAATCTTTGTTTAAAGCATCTTGAAGCTGCTGATTTTCTTCCTGTTATTCCTGTTTTCGCGTTATCTTATTTAGACTCGTCCAAACAGCGTGCACACCTCCGAAAAAAGATTTCTTCAAACAAGAATAAGCTGTCTTCCCTAATAGATAAGTACAATCAAGAGAAAGAAGGCAATGAAGCTTTGCAAGCCACTGTCTCTGAAGTTATGAAGGGGAATTTCCCATGGGGAAACACAACAGGTAAACTTTGTGAATTTTAGTACTCAATTCAACTTGTCTCTTTTGTAGAGTATTTCAGCTTGTAGCTGTCATTTTTGTTCTAAGTATATTTTCATTCTATCATTGATAAAGTATTTCTTGTACATTGTACAAATTACTAATTTCATATGAGATAAGATACACTTGTGATAGGGGGTAGCTTAGTAGCTACGGTCATTGTGTTGGTGTCTTAAGAAAGACACTATGCTCCAGCACTGCCCCTCTCAAGCAAATTGTACCAGCAAACTGTTCACAACTTCTAATAGATCAGGCTCCTTCTGAAGTGTTGCGTTTTTTCCTACTTCCGTCTAACCTGTGCACGCAGGACATTAAAATCAACAACAACAACAACAGCAACAACAACAAGCCGCTTATTTTCTTTGCTTTTAAAACGTTATTTTGCAAATAGCAAATGCTAATCTAGGCGAGCTATTGATTGCTTATGCATAAAACTAGATCAATTAAATAACATTATTAACAGTTAAGATTTAGTTTCATGTAATATTATTATAATAGTTTCTGCATATTAAGATTGCTAAAACAGAATGAGGGGAGAATAATGAGAGGAGAGAGGAGAATAATGAGAGAAGACACTGATTTTAATTACTTAAAGTTTCCTGTTCTTGAATAATCTCGTGTTTAATAAGAAAGGAATTTTCTTTGTCCAGCATTCGTGGTTATTCATTTTTAATTCTAGCTTTGAAAGACTTTTTGGGTAGCTTTCTTAGATTGCATGGTATCTCATTCCAAAAACTGGCGCCAATTTTTGAGAAAGCATTGTTTTTGTAATTCAAGTCAGTTTTCATTCGTCCATATCGGTACAACAATGAGAATCAAGAAAGTCATCGTTGAAAAACATGAAATGATCACGAGATGGGATGAAGAAATTACTCTCGTAAAAAAAGAGATGGAGAACTTTGTATCGTTCTACATGGATGTTACTATTCTTCGGCTTGAAAGGATTGTTATGGAGTTACAGGATAAGTTAGCGCGTGAGTATGTCATAACCATTAGTCTTTCCTGTTAACTTTAACAGTTTGCTTAACAGAAAATAATCTTGATAAAGCGTTCTTGTTCTTTTTCCCTGTCAAGATCCTGAAAGCAGTTCAGACATACCACGCGACAACAACGAAGCATCTTTGCAACCTGAGATGGAAGAAAATGTAATTACCTTTATCTTTTTGTTTACTTATTTACTTATTTGTTTATTGATTTATCTACGTACGTACTTATTTATTTCTTTATCTCTTTAGTTCTCACACTATCCTTTGCTTCACAACTGCAGTACATTTCTTACTCTTTTGCAATACATTGTGCACTCTTTTACAATGATGTACTTACACTTTGCTTTACACTACTCTGCGTCCATGGCATATCATGCAAACATTCAGGCACACTATGTAAAAGTAACGTAGCATCAATATTTCTCTCTGTGACACCCTCTTTCTTTTCATGTGTCTAGGAGATGAAGTACAGAAGTAGTTCAATGAGTGCTGTGGTTCTTGAAGGAAAGTTGAGTTGTGCCAAAAGGGGAATTGCCTTTTGCAAGAGTCACATTTGTTCTGCAGCTACCAAGTTCAAAGCTGCATTAAGTGGTAGTGACTACGAGGAATGTCTGCCTTTGGAAGAGGGTGCAGAAAATGATGATGACGTTGACGTTGACGACGGCACGTACGACAGCACTGGTGATTGTTCTGAAGATGAAATCACCTTTAATTACAAAAACGCACCAGGTGCGGGAAATAACGTTGTGGTACTTGGTGAAGGAATTCCCCATTGCGATACATTTTCATGGAAATTTCCTGTCGAAAGTAGCCAGTCAACGCTCGACGGCAGAAACGGCAGTTCGGCTTGTAGTGTAATAGCTTTGATCTTTGCTTATGGAGTGTGCATGAGCGGCTCGATCTCCAACCTATGTGTGAACTGTCTCCTCTGTGGATTATGTTACTCTGTGCATCAATCAGGGTGGGAAACCGCCTTTATGACCGCTGTCGACACAGCCTACCTCAGCGTTTTCTTTCAGCCTCAGAGGCAGCCACTGTCGCAGAACAATGTTTGGGTGTGCATTCGCCCTTAGCTATACGAGTTTGTAATGACCATGCTCCTACAACTCTAGTGCACCAGTTATCAGCACTGTGTGATGGCTTCCACGGAAATGCAGCTCTACTTATAGCCAACGAAAAGACCGTTCTCTTCTTACCACTAACTGGTCAATCTATTGCCTTGGTGGAAAGTCATCGTCATGGTGACCTTGGCGCCCAAATATTACTTGGTTATCAAAGTCGTTTAGAGCGATTTGTAGTTGCGTGCCAGAAAGTGCTCGATTTAACTGATGATACTTACTGTGATCTGTCGTTTATTTATTTTTAGGCCACTAGAAGTCAGACTTGATCATATCTCCATTTGCAATCCTATTACACTGTATGGAACTTGTTTTGAATTTTTATTTATTTCAGCGTGTTTGAAAGTCGCATTATATACATTTTAAGTATTATAATATAATTATTAATAATATACAATGCAGAGGGGGTTGCGGCAACAATTATTGGCATTTTGTATCAGATACTGAGGAAAGGTTTCTCCCCTACTTTTGTTTTGAGGGCGATCTTTTCCGTGAGTTGATCATCGGTCTTAGATATTGAAAATAAAGTATATGTTGTATTTATTAACCATAATTCTATTTTAATTTTAGTTTTGTCTCGGAATGCTTTTATTGATTCCCATTTTCTTTAATGTTTCTAACTGTAACGGTGACAAGGTGCAGCGAGGAGGAAAACAAGCAA